TAATATATTTTTTTATTGTTTTTCATCATTGATTTCAATATATTTTAGGGATGAGATTAAATTTTTTTTTCACTTATCTTTCTCATTCATTGGTTCTTTTGAAATTAATGAATAAAAAAAATTATAAAACTTTTTAATTTTACATTAGTGCAAGTTGATCTCTTTCTAAAAATTTTTATGAGGATATATCTTAATATTATGATTACATAACTGTTATGTATATTTTATTTATTTTAGTTATATATTTATTTATTATTATTTATTTAAAATCATAATTATCAGTAAGTACTTAGCATAAATAGTTAGAATTATTTTGAGTTTATTATTATCTAATTTATCATTTAGAAAGGATAGACATTTAGTTGAATTAGGAAACTTTAACCAAATGTCTATCATTTTAGAAATAAAACAAGATAATATCTCTTAGTAAAAAATAATTTTGGAGACTTTGCTTATATATTGGAGTGAATTCAAAAAATTATTTTTTACTAAGTTATATTATCTTCATTTTAAAAATTTATTAAAATAAATGATTGATTTTTTAAATTTCACCTAAATATTAAAAAATTAAGGAAATTTTATATTTCTAAATATTTTATAAAAAAATGATGATAAAAAAATATAAAAATGAAAAAATTTGAAAAGAATGAAATTAAATTGATTATTTGCATAGTTTTATTTTTATTTGGTATAATTTTGTTTCATAAATGACATTATACACATCATAGTTAGCAATAAATGTGAAGTAATAAATAAAAAATTTAAAAATAATTTTTAGAAATAAAAAACTAATATTCCTAACTAAAAGTAACTTTTGAGACCTTACTTAAATATTGAAAAGTTTTTTAACAATTATTTTTATAAGAGAATATTATATCAAGTTTTAAGGATTATTATGAAAACATAAGTAAATAAATATTTTTTGAGATTCTACTAAAATATTGGAGAATTCAAAAAAATTTTCAAACCCAAAATTTTCATTTTTTTCCTAAATAAAAGATTTTGAAATTATTTTTGCAAAAAAAAAAAGATTAAGGAAATTATTTAAATATTAAAATTAAGTTTATTTGTTATCAAAACAAAAAGATAACATATGATCAATTGATACCGTTTTTAAAACAGGTGTTATGTGGTGTTAATTCTTCGTTGCACGTAATTATACTCATAAATCTGATTTTATTTTTGCAGATCTTTAATAGGTTTTAATTAATTTTAAAATTTTATTAAAATGATAATTTTTAGTAAAATAATAAAAATATTAGTAATGAAATTATTTTGATTTTAAATAAAGTGATATTAAAAGAAAAATTACAAATATATCTAAGCATCCATGATCAAATTTTAATATAAAATATCCATTTTTCTTTTAGGAATTTAAAATGATATATTACTTTTTGATAGTATTAAAACTCTTACTTAAAAATTTAAAATATCATTTTTTTAATTTAATATTAAAAGGAAATTAATTTAATAAAAAATTTATTTTATAAAATATGTTTTTTTTTTTTTAAATTAAAAATTTTCATATTTAACAACTAAGTTACATAATACCATTTTACAATTTTTTTTAATCTATATTATAACTCAAGTGATTCATTCATCCTTTAAAAAATAATTCTCATAAAATAGAAATTCTATCACCAACATTTACATTTCTTTTTCCTTGTAAACTTCAATTTTCCTTTGTATAAAAAAAAATAATATTTCATAAATCTTATTTCAATCGTCTCGAACTTCAAACTTAATATCTCCGAACCTGATTTTGATGATCTATCCTTTCGGGTGTCCCTTGGGACCAAACTCTAATCTCTTGTACTTTATTAGGGAATGCTTATGACTGCTGACATTGCAAAAACAAATGCTTTTAGTTAGGTAACTTGGGTTCTTTTTAATTAGGTTTTGTTCACTTTTTGTCGTTTTGGCCTCGGATTTCCTACGCTATTGGACTCCACATCACACACACCATTATCCCAATCCTTTAAAATAAAAAAACCCAATGTTTCTTGACATTGCAAATTCTTCCCTTTTCGTTATAGTGTCGTATATAATTATGTCTTTCGACAAGTGATTTCAATAATGCTTGCTGCTAACTTCATTGTTCAATTTCATTCCTTGTAAGTGGCTTAGCTAAAAGTCTTTGACCTTTTTATGCCATTAAATTACTCTTTATGCTTAATTTTGATTGTGAAAATGACAAAAAAAAAAAAAAAGCCTACTAATTCAGAAATTTTCTGAATAATAGTTTCAAAAACAAATTTACAACACATTAATTACACATTAAAAAAAATTTATTTACAAGAATCTTTCCATAATAAATATTGCCTTTGCTAGTGTCTTTAGATTATAGTCACTCTTTAACATTTGTCAAAAGATCTAAATAAATAAATAGAAAAAATATAAATATAAAAGCAAACGGCAAAAATATCAATTAAAGTAAACTTAAAATGGAGTAGGATTTAATGTTTGGATCATGAGTTAGGACACTTAAAAAAATAATTATTTTCCGAAAAAATGTTAAAAATAAATGTCTTGATGGCAATATAAATATTCTACAAGGAAAATCTCCATAAAGACAAACATTGTTTCCTTGTTTTTTTCTTTTAAAAATTTTAGAATATCTTTCCCTATTCGGATTTTTAGATTGCGAAAGGCCTTTGGATCGGAGGCTGTTGCTTCCAGCATGATTTTGTCTAGCTGGCTGTCTAATCTGGCCGCCGAAATTCCAATTTTCATCATCATTTTGCTTGCAAATAACTCTATTTAGGTTTATTAATCTGAAAGCAAATGGAAACCTGCTGCAGCCATTAATTTCACCAAAACCAATCCTTAATCACTTTGAATTTGGTTATGTACATAGAAAAAGAAAACCGTACAGAAAGGATTACAAATCTTTAAAAAGTAGATAGTTTTAAAAAGATAAGAGATAAGTAAAAAAAAAGTTTAATATCATTTTTTGAATTTATTAAAATTAATAATTAAAAAATATATAAAAATTTTGGTGTAAATTAATTTTTAATATTGATTTATATATTCAGAAATCAGGAACGATCCTGGAAAATTCATTTTGATAACCAGACATTATTATCGCTAACGAATACGGAGCCGTGCTGGACCATCGCATCTGGCATCAATAACAAAAACTATTTTGCTTAATTTTATTGCTAAATTAAATGTTTCTTCAAACTGTGATAGCTAGCTGTAAGTGGGGGCTTTCAAACGTTTCTTTTATCAAGTAGAAGCTCCAATCTGGTTGACTTATTTTCATGTTTTTGGCATAAAAATTATTTCAGCTGTCGGGAACTGACGGTGCAAATTTCATTGGCTACAATAAATTACATGAGACACAATTAAAATATTAATTGATATATAATTATACTAAATCAAGGTAATCAATTCTTCTTTATATTTTTGAATGGATTTAATCACTTCTATAAATTGTTATTATTAATTTATCTTGTTTTTAATTTTGAGTAGTGCCAATGTTTTTTCATAATATGTAGTTTTCAATTCTTTCATGTTGTGAATTTAAAAAACCAGTTGGTGGCATCTCTGATCTATGTTCTCCTTCTCTCTAATTAACCCACTTTAATTAAGTTTTCTAAAATAACTAATTAATTAACAAAAAAAAGATAAGAATAATAAAAAAAAACTGTACAAGTATTGGGTTATGGTTTATCAAAATGAAGAACTTCTAAAATTGGCTCTAGGTTTAACAAAAAAAAAAGAAAGGGGAAAACTCTTCTTTAAATTCATTTTCTGCTTCCTTTTGCTTTAGGCATCAAATGGGAAAGTAGAAATTGTATTTACAAGACGAAGTATTTAAGAATAATGGAAGGTTTTAAAAAGCGACATCGACTCAACCTTTGAAAAACGTCGAGACTTTCAACTTTGATTGTGTGGTGATCGTTTCTTATTTTTGCTTTCCTTTTCTTTGCAATGAATTCTTGCTGGGGAAATAAAATTTCTTCATGTGGTTTCATTCAACTATCATGGGTATTTCTTTTTTTTTTTTTTTTTAAGTCTTATTTGATGTTTAATTTTTGTTTTAAAGTTAATTATTCATTTTTAATCAAAATTAAGTGACTTAATTGAGTTATTGAGAGTTGATTTGGTGAGAATGAATATATAAATTAATTATGTATCTTTTAAAAAAATGAGATGACATTATTTTAATGGTGCCTAAAAATTCAATTTTTAATATGATCCTGATATAAATTAAACTCTTTTTTTTTAATTTTTATTTAAAATTATAGAATTGAAAATTTGTCTTGATCTTTGATCATATTTAACATATATTAGTCTTTGTTCTCACATTTTTATTTAAAATAAACGTAATCATTTTTTGATTTTTAGTAATAGCTGTCATTTTTAACAAGATTGATAGAAGATTTTTGATAAATCAGTGTCCAAAAAAAATATTATAAACTGAAATTGATTCATATATTTTAGTATAATTTTGATAAGCTTCTGCTTGAATTTATCTTCTAGCTTCTTGAGTCCCTTTCAAACATGGCGGCATTTTTTTTTTTGTTGTTTCATCATTTCAAATACGAACCATAGATTAGGTAGTTGGTTGTACTTTTCTCAACCCCAGTTTTTCTGACAGCGACGATGTACTGTTTTATTTTATTTTTCAAATCAAATGATAATCTAAAAAAAATAATTATAAATATTTATATTTGACTTACAAATTTATTGGATATTATTATTTAAAAATTGTTGCCAGTGTTAGCTTGTCTTTCAAAATATAGTTAATTTAGTCAAACCTAATTTTCGATAATTAAGAAAACATGAAGTACAGGTAACGATGAAGATGACAAAAGGCAATCAACCCCGTAATTCCATTGCGGATCAAATAACATATTCTAAACTAAGTGCCAGTTGGAATATTTATTTATTTCTTCAGCTTTGTCTTTTTCTGTGAATATGTCCTCAAAAAAAGCAGCGGTAATAACAAAAATGGAATGAAACTAATGGTTGCTAAAAGATCTGGCCCGGTTTAGACTTTATATATTCTGCCTCCCTATATCCCGAAAACGTGTATTGATTGTGCTTCTTAGTTTGTTTTGTTGGACCACATCCATTTCTTTCACCATATATGGTTTTGTTCTGAGTTTTTCTGCAACTTACCTGCTCCAGAAAACTCTGTTTGGAGCTTCCTACTCAAACTATTTACCGTTTTCTCTCACTGTTCTGCCCATTTGTCTAGAGCTCCTGGCGTTGGAGTCATAGATGAGTGCCGCTTTTCCTTTCCTGCATTATCCGAGGTGAAGCAGCTGGTTTTGAGTTTGGAATTTGTTTATGATCTTCTGTTTCAGGGACCTCTTTTGCACAAGCATATATGCTTGCTTTTCTGATATAGCTTGTAGGCTTTAAGAAACTGTCTTTGAATTTAATATATTAACACACGAACACGTTATTCTCATCTTCCTTACTCTTTGAAAAATTAGTTCTTGAAACATAGTTATTGTTGCCTAGTCTATCAAATTCAGGGACTGGGATCTTGAGATGAAAAAAAGATATGGTTGGAAGGAGTTGTGCACTACCCCTGTTTTTATTCTTAATTTCCACAGAAAAAAAATAAAATTTTAATTCCATTTTCAACTTTGAAGTCCTAGCATCTATGTCTAGCAGACTAGCTCCAATAACATAAATCACCTGATTGATGTAGTATTACTATTTAATACTGATATTTTCTGCTTATTTAATAATGTAAACTCGTAACATACTTGCATTCGTTATATCCAAGTGTGTGTGTGTGTCTATATATATATATATATATATATAGATTTATGATTTTAATTCTTTACTAGTCAGTAACTGTTGTCTCGTAAAAGCCTAATACAGCTGACCTGTTTCAAACATTCAGGTGCGGGCATTTCAGAATGGATCATGGTGAGCATCTGGCTTCTGTGGAGTTGCAGGAATCCCCTGACGAAGTTCAATCTCTCCTTAAACTTATATCATCGAACGAAGTGGCTGTCTTTGATAGCATCATAGTAGTAAGTTACACCTTTTTAAATGTGTTTCTCGTGTTGCTTAATACTTAATATGGCATCTCTTGGTCTTGGATGATCTATGCTTAATTCATTACTATCTTTCTCATATACTTGAATGAGTCCCGACGCTTATGCAGAATTAATTATCTGGTTGGTTGTTTGTGTTAATTCTTTAGCTTGCTTATCCAGGGGAATTTGAATACTGAATTCTATAATTAACTTTCGTGCATTTGCAACAGGAAAGTGAAACATCTAATTTCTCAAACCAAATCAATGTTTCTCAACCCACTGGCCATCAGAGGAAGCCTTCTATTTCAATCAGCATGCCCTCTTCTCCTACAGCAGCTAGCTCAGCGGGTACCAAGAGCGTTTTTTTTGTCGATGACAATGCAAAAGGTTTCAGGAATGGGGTTCCGGATTCTTCCGTGGCATCAAACACTCTTAGTAACACGGAGGCAAAAGCAGTCAAATTTCTCTCCCAGCCAACGAGAAAAGGATCAGTCTTCGCGGAGGCAGCTAAAATTAGAAACATCAATCAACAACCTAACATTAAAAAGCTGAAGGACAAGAGGTTTGATTCTTTCAAAACATGGTCTGGGAAACTTGAAAGGCAGCTATCAAATTTACGTCGAAAGTCACGGGAAATTGAATCAGAAGAAAACTGCGTGCGAAATTCAGAGAATGAAGCGTTACCTGTGGACCGATACTTTGATGCATTGGAAGGGCCAGAGTTAGAGAACCTGAGGGTATGTGCTCATCTTCCCCTAGTCCTTAATCCCAATTTATTTTATTATTCTTATATTCCATTATTATAAATTTGTGATACTAATACCTATTCGTTATGTGACTAAAATTGTAAAATGTTGTAAAGGATTGTGCTTTCTTGCTTGATACTTTTCCTATTTGAAGAAACTGACATTATTTATTTTGACAGGCTTCAGAGGAGATTGTACTTCCAGATGACAAAACTTGGCCTTTCCTCCTTCGTTATCCTATCTCTTCATTTGGGATCTGTCTGGGAGTTGGTAGCCAAGCCGTTATGTGGAAAACCCTGGCCACTGCTACCTCTACAAAATTTCTTCACATAAACCCGATAATAAATCTCATCCTATGGTGGATATCCGTCGCTTTAGTAGCCATTGTTGCTTCCATCTACCTTGTGAAAGTGATTCTCTACTTTGAAGCAGTTCGTCGTGAGTATTACCATCCAATCCGTGTCAACTTCTTCTTTGCCCCTTGGATATCTCTTCTGTTCTTAGTTCTTGGAATGCCACCTTCGGTTACCTCAAACCTGCCTCTAGCTCTATGGTACGTTCTTATGACGCCAATCTTCTGTCTGGAGCTTAAAATTTATGGACAATGGATGTCAGGTGGTCAACGGAGGCTTTCAAAGGTGGCTAATCCTTCAAACCATCTCTCAATCGTTGGGAACTTTGTGGGGGCACTGTTGGGTGCATCAATGGGGCTTAAAGAAGGGCCTTTATTCTTCTTTGCTGTTGGGCTGGCTCATTATACTGTCCTTTTTGTAACTCTTTACCAGAGACTTCCAACAAATGAAACACTCCCGAAAGAGCTCCATCCTGTATTCTTTCTGTTTGTTGCAGCACCAAGTGTCGCTTCAATGGCATGGGCCACGATCCAAGGGTCCTTCGATTATGGATCACGGATTGCTTACTTCATTGCCTTGTTCCTTTATTTCTCACTGGTCTGCTAGCCTCTTTGCATCTTAAATACATTACAGCATTACTCTTTAGGCCATCTTATTTTTAAGACAGTTCCATATTCTCGTTGGCACATGCCATTATTTTTTGTTAATTTAACTTGACTTATAAGTTGCACACTTAGTAATACTAAAGTCTTATATTTGTACTATCTTTTGCAGGCAATTCGGATTAACTTTTTCCGAGGATTCAAGTATGTGAAGCGGTATCCCTATTTCCTTATAGTTCAGCTCTATTAGTAGTCTGATTCATTTGTCTTCCATTTGCAGGTTCTCATTGGCTTGGTGGGCATATACGTTCCCAATGACTGGTGCTGCCGTTGCAACCATGAGATATTCAAGTGCAGTGACAAATATAGTAACTCAAACTCTTTCTGTCGTACTCTCTGTTGTCGCTACACTCACAGTAACAGCACTGCTTGTAACGACTATGTTGCATGCCTTTGTCCTACGAGACCTCTTCCCTAATGACATTGCCATTGCCATTAGCGACAGAAAACCAAAACCTCATAAGAAGTGGTTCAATCTTAGACATGGAAGCTCAGGTCATAGTAGAGACATTGAAACTTTCTTGAAATTTGCAAGTGCTGACAGGAAAGATATAGAAGCTGCCTTAAAAATTCCCACTGAAGAAGCTACATCAGTGTAAAGCTTCATTCATGGGCCACTTGATCAGCCTTAATTTCAACCTTTAGTAGGCTTTTGCCATTTTTTTTTTTTTTGAATCTTCAGCACTTAGACATGTGAGGAACTTCCAACTTTGGAGGTTTTATCTTTCCAGTGACCATGTGTATAGAGAGGAATGAAGGTTTCCGGCACTTGAAGCAAAGGGTGGAGGAATGTGTAAAATCTTGATGAGTTGTAAATTGCACCTTGTATGAGATATAAATTCTGCAAAATAATTTTAACATTAAGCATTCATGCACACTAGTAAGTATATTAGCTTCTGCTATACCCGTATCAAGCTGTAAACTGTTGGTAGTTTAAAATGTTGTGTGAGATTCTACATCCCAAATTGTGAGAAAGATGTCCTATAAGAGCAATTAAGAACAACTCATGGGTTTTAAAATAGTTGGGCTAAGTGATAAAAATTGGACCAAGTGCATGGGCTGCTAGGAATTGTCCTAGTGGTAAACTAGTTTGATGTAAATTGTGACACCTCAATCCATATCGAGATGTTTTAAAGATCTATTATGATATAAAAGTTGAAGCTTAAACTCAAACTTGTGAGATGCTTTTTGTGGGATAAAACCGTAAGATTTTTTAGTCAAAATAAATAGTACCTCATAGGTTGGTTTTAGGTTTCCACAAATGGTATCAAAATCAAGTTTTGATCTTGGAACCTGTAGGTTATGGACTTACCATGTTTCTTCCAAAATTTTTCTTTTAAATTCTGAGTCATCTATAGCATAAACTCTAACACCGAACCTTAAAGAGCCATCATCATGAATCTTAAAGTTTGGTTTTAAATAAAAATCCATCTCAAGTCCAATGTTTTGGAGTCAAGGATCACTGGCTTGAGCATATTTAATCTTCTAAATTAAGTTAGGCTAAACTCGTAAGTTAGCCAAATAAGCTCTAAAACCTCATATTCACACATCAATATCCATTCTCCTTAATTCTTCCAAAATTTGTCTCTAAAAAGTTATTATTGCAGCCAAATGCTCAATGAATTTTCTATTTAAAGCATTAGCTACCTTATTTGTCTTTTTTAGGATGGTAACTAATGGTCAAATCATAATTTTTCAATAGCTTTACCCATCTTCTCTGCCTCATATTCAACTCTTTTTAAAAAGGTATATCAAACTCTTATGATCCGTAAAGATCTCTAAAGACTCACCATATAAATAGTGTCTCCAAATTTTCAATACAAAGACTACAGCAGCTATCTCCAAATCATGATTATGGTAATTCTCCTTATAAGGTTTCAATTGTCTAGAAGCATAGGCAATCATATTATCATTTTGCACATAGCTTAATCCATTCTTCAAAGCATCACTATAAATAGTGAACCGTTTATTAGCAATAGGCAAGGTAAGAATAAGAGTAAAGATTGATCTTTTTAGCTCTTCAAAACTCTTTTCACAATCATTCGATCACTCAAATGGAACTCCCTTTTGGGTTAATCTAGTCAAAATCATAGCAATACAAGAAAAGCCCCCCATAAAACGCTTGTAGTATCTGGTTAAACCCAAAAAACTACAAATCTTAAAAACATTATTCAACCTTTTCCACTCTACTACTGCTTTAAGTTTCTTTCGGTCAATGGAAATTCCATCTTTCGACACTATGTGCCCAAGAAAAACCACACTAGAGAGCTAAAATTCACACTTTTTTAACTTAAAAAACAATTGTTTGTGCATTTTTTTATAACTTTTTTTGTATCTTTTATGGGATAAAATCGTAAGACTATTAAGTCAAAGTGGACAATACCTCACAAGTTGGATGCAGATCTTCACAAATGGTACAAGAGCAATTATTAGTTCGATAGAAGCGGTGTGTTATATTGTGGGATCCACCTTTATAGTTTTATGGCCGCTAATTACTACATGATGAAAGTCATCTCTAAAATCTCAACATCTAGTATGATCCTGATTCTATGGTTCTATGTATACAGTTTTGTGATTCTGTGTGCTCTGTGTTGGGTTTGATGAGGACATTAAGATTTTACAGAGGAAAATTATGACACCTCAATCTCACATCAGGATGTTCTGATAATCTGCTATAATATTTAAGTTGAAACTTAAAATCAAACTTGTGAGGTATTTTTTATGGAACAAAACTATGAGACTTTCGGATTAAAGGGGACAATACCTCGCAGGTTGAGTACAAGTCTTCACATAATAGTATGTGCCAAATAATGCTACATTTGGGTAACCAAATTCCCTATATACACATAAGGGAGTTGTAGGAACTAATAATTGGTAATTATTTGGATTGAATTGAATTGATTGATGTTTAAAATCACATATACTTTAACAAACCATGTAAAGTTTTCATTTGAAAACAATAACTTTCTGGTTTTTTTCAAAGAATAGATCAACCTGATTATGGCATCTTTCTACACCAACCTAATCAATGAAATAGAAAGAATGTGTATGAGCAATCTACAATTAGTAGAACATATAATATAAACTTAACCTAAAGACATGCAATAGTTAAAAGGAGAACTTCAAGTAAAGATATGTTTGAGTCATGTTACCATTACTTTCTTCCTATCAAAGTGCACAACAATAAGGCTTATATGCCTATCGATCTTCTTGTTCCTATCAGATGTCGAATTGAAGCATCTTATCTATTTTCTAAAACACTTGACATGACATTCTTTCTCATTCAATGCTGTGACCCTACCCACTTCTTTTGGAGTGTTTGGTGCAATTAGATTCAGCCATTTTGTTTAAATGGCACCTTGTTTCATAGTTAAACTAGTTCACATTGACTATCCTCATTAGAGCATTTGGCATAGCATCAGATGAGTCAATGATTGGTTCTAATACCATTTATCACCATTATCTTTTTATCGTAAAACTGACTTATTGTAATGTATAATGCTAATGCACCCTTTCATTTTTTATTGGTGTAAGATTGAAATGTTAGGATTTAAGTAGCTTTACGAGGTGACAACAGGTGACTAAACTAAGAGTTGGAAGAATAATAGTGAAAATGAGGCACATAAGAATTTATGCAATTCACTAATTTGACTATGTCCAATGGTAAGTATAAAAAGAATTTCACTAGAAAATATAATATAGGAATACAACCACTTTTTACTTTAAGGAGAGAACAATTATACTCTCTAAAACTAGGAGAACAAACACCTCACAACATTTTCACTAACTAAAAATCATTTAACAAATAAAGAATGAAGAATGAGATGCATTTTTGTTCATAAACCAAACCTATTTGGAGGCTCCAAATCTTCCCAATTACATCACCTTATGCATAATTTTGGCCATTTTTTTTTTCTTTTCGGTGCCTAATATGTCATAGGCTTGAAGCTTATGGCATTTAATTTCAACTAATATAATTGGATCGTGGAGTTTTACTTTATTATTCTTACATTTGAAGACTATGATTGTAATCATGTCTTCACATCTTTATAATCCATTTTTTTTCTATACTTGTCATCTCCATGTTGCTTACCTTTCTGTTAGGCAATATAAGGATTTGTACCATATGTACTTGTTGTTATTGATTGATTTGGTTAAGGCATCTACTAGATTTTTTTTTGTCTAAACCTTTTTTATATCCATGCTTTCATTTTCTACCACTTTTCAAACAAAATGATGTTAAACATCTATGTGTTTTGTTCAGAATGAAAAGCTGGATTCCTTGCAATATGCAAGGCACTCTGATTGTCATAGTACAAGAGAATTTTCTCTTGTTTGTGCTCGAGTTCTTTTATAAGTCTTTTTATCTAGATTATTTTTCTATTAAGCTTGTGTAGCTGCCATTATTAAGCTTCTGTTGTAGACTGCTACAATAGTATGAAGTTTTGAAACCAAGCTTATAGCTCCACTTACAATTGTGAACATATAACTTGTAGTGGATTTCTTTTCTCAAGGTAACCCATAAAGTTTGAATTAACACAACCCTCGACAGTAAATTTTTATCCTTCATAACATAATGCAACATCAGAGGTTCTTTTGATCTATCTTAGGATCCTTTTAATAGTATTCCAATGCTGTTTACTAGGATTTCTCATGTATCAACTAAGCATTCCCATTGCTCGTGCAATGTTTGGTCTTGTACATATCATGGCGAACATTAAAATTTTTTAACTTAAAAAACAATTGCTTGTGCATTTTTTTATAACTTTTTTTGTACCTTTTATGGGATAAAATCGTAAGACTATTAGGTTAAAGTGGACAATACCTCACAGGTTGGATGTGGATATTCACAAATGGTATAAGAGTAATTATTAGTTCGACACGAGCGGTGCGCTATATTGTGGGATCCCCCTTTATAGTCTTATGGCAGCTAATTACTACATGATGAAAGTCATTTCTAGAATTTCAACGTCTAGTGTGATCCTGATTCTATGATTCTGTGTATACAATTTTGTGATTCTGTGTGCTCTGTGTTGGGTTTGATGAGGGCACCAAGCTTTAACAAAAGGAAATTGTGACACCTCAATCTCATATCGGGATGTTCTGATAATCTGCTATGATATATAAGTTGAAACTTAAAATCAAACTTGTGAGGTGCTTTTTGTGAAATAAAACTGTGAGATTTCGAATTAAAAGGGGACAATACCTCGCAGGTTGAGTACAGATTTTCACATAATAGTATATGCCAAATAATGTTGCATCTAGGTAACCAAATTCCCTATATGCACATAAGGAAGTTGTAAGAACTAATAACTGGTAATTATTTGGATTGAATTGAATTGATTGATGTTTAAATCACATCTACTTTAACAAAACATGTAAAGTTTCCATTTGAAAACAATAACTTCTATTTTTTTTTCAAAGAATAGAACAACCTGATTATGGCATCTTTTTACACCAACCTAATCAATGAAATAAAAAGAATATGTAGGAGCAATCTACAATTAGTAGAACATATAACATAAACCTGACTTAAAGACATGCAATAGTTAAAAGAGAACTTCAAGTAAAGATATGTTTGAGTCATGTTACCATTACTTTCTCCCTATTGAAGTGCACAACATCAAGGCTTATATGCCTATCGATCTTCTTATTCCTATCAGATGTCGAATTGAAGCATCTTATCTATTTTTTTAAAACACTTGACATGACATTCTTTCTTATTCAATGCTGTGACCTTACCTACTCTTTTTGGAGTGTTTGGTGCGATTAGATTCAGCCATTTTGTTTAACTGGCACCTTGTTACATAGTTAAACTAGTTCACATTGATTATCCTTGTTGGAGCATTTGGCTTAGCATCAGATAAGTCAATAATTAGTTCTAATACCATTTATCACCATTATCTTCTTATCGTAAAACTGACTTATTG